CCCCCCTCCCCCCCCCCGTTAAAAAAATAAATGCTCGTTCCCTAAAGTGGTGATTATTACAGTGTCATAACGAAAGGGGGAAACTATACGATGCCTCGAACACAACTCGTAGTTACAAGAAGATTCGTATTTTATTTTCACTGAACCCTGATCTGTGTTACATGTTATATCAAATTATTTTTTTTTTACAATTTATTTCTATTCCAGTTTGTTTCTGTCCTATTTGATGAAAGTGCAATCTTTATTTACAGATGATGATGTGATTATTAGTAAAAAAAAAATGCAAGCTGTGCGGCTTTTTCTGTTATTAATACGGCTTGTATCTATGGAATACTTGCCTAAGCGGTAATTTTGCCGCCTTAGCAACAGGTCGGTACTCGAACTGGTCCGGGTAAAACATGGGTAACTGGAAAGAACGACAGCGGCTAAACTGTGTTGACTTGAATGCAGAGGAATGGTTGACTATCGCGGGAGATGTCTGGTATAGCTGGTCTGACCGGTTTGACTGCACTGTTAGGAACTCGCGTCTAGCGTGACTGACAGGGAACTGCGGTCGCCGTGGTTGCCAAGTGTCCATACGAGGTCTGCTTACAGGCGGCCCAAACTGGCTTGACAGGTTGGTCTGGCGGATGGATGCTGAATGTGCTTCGTCCTTTCTCGACTTTGCGCGGCGATTCTGAAACCAGTACTGAAAAGTAATTTAAAAAATAGACTTAAATGAGTTGTCAGACTGCCATGTTACCCTTAAATATCCTAAAACTGAGTGAAAATGAATAACAACTTCCAACGTACCAGGGTGTCAACAGATCTTAATGCGTTTTTTTTTTATTATTATTATTATTTTGTCCGCCATTTTGTTGGTCGCTGAAAAAAGTAAAATTTCTGATTGTTTGGTTGTCATAAGATTATTATCTGGTGGAAATATGAAAATATTTCTTTGCTTTTGTTAAAATTTATCTTCCTGACAATTAAAGCAAAGATATGTGAACGGTATAGCAAGACCTCCCTTTTTATGCGAATATCGTTGTCTGTTATGTTGCCGAGACTTCATGCCTGAAATTATATGTTAGCGTCATGCCCGTTTTGGAGGAATGCGATATTATTTTCTTCGCCCTTCTGACAAACTTGAATTGACAAATAATTCTAAAATTACCAACTTTCCACAACTGTACTCCCCCCTTTTAAAACCTGAACTGTGCAAAATACGCAAATTTAGTTTAAACAGTGCAACTATCTCACCTTCAAGCTTCTGGGCGGTATCCCGAGTTTCTGCACCAGGTCCTCCTCATCTTCCCTCGTCAAATATGGCCGCCTTTTGTACGCTCGTTCCAGCTCCCACACCTCAATCGGTGAGAAGGTCGTGCGCGTTCGTTTCTTCCTCGCTGTCTGCTCGGCACGAGGCGATGCTTGATCGGGTTCGCTGTTACAACTGCTGGGGGAGCTTGTGTTGTCATCTGAACAAGGAGATGATTGTGGGCTGATATCACTGTAGCTGTGTTGAGGACTTGGAATCTGTACGCGGAGTTCGGAAGACTGCATGTTTCTCTCTGAAAATAAAATTAAACACAAGTTCAAAACCATGTACAGATAAAGTCGTGTATGTTAGCAATCTTGTTTATATTCCATGCCCGGATCTCGGCAATACCAAAGATATTTACCAGGGGTGATTTCAATTGATTTAGGGTTTAGTAATTAGAGGTAACTACCGCTTCGATGTAAATTACTCTAAAAAATTGAAATAACAATAACATGGCAAACTAATCACCCTCTCGATCACGATGTTGTTAGCTTCTTCCCTGCTCTTGTCGTTTAAATTCTGTGGCTGTCTTTTTAATCATCGGATGAAGGATTAATCGTGTAAACAAGAAGACGAAAAGTATTCGATGAAAACGCAACTTTCAGTGCAAAACGATTTCCTCCGACGAAGGCAACTAATAACGTTTCCAGTGTTTTGGTCATTTTACGCACTAAATGCTATATATTCTATGCTACAGACTCTCAAGTTAACAGCTATGACATGAGCGATATTGCCCGGGGTTCAAGTATCAACGAAGTGTTATAAAGAGAAACTCACCGTTCTTTGGTAAATCTTGTTTTTTCCGATTATCTTCCAGGCCCAGGATCGCGCTGATGGAAAAGGACAGCGACTCGCTGGAGACTGGCACCAAGGGCGTTGAACGCAAAGTATGCGAGCGTCTACCAGCCAAAGGTTCCATAATAGAAACGACTGAGCGAAATCTGCTACGCTCCATAAATATAAGTTCCGCGCTGCTAAGTGCAAGAAAAGTAATGAACTACTGTTTCATGAACTGAATGACGGTTGCTTCGTGATAAACCTTATTTATACCTTGTCAGCGGACAAACAAAGGCGGTCCGACAAACACGTTGTTTTCTTGTAACTTTGCCGATAACTGGTGTATAATAGAAGTATTGAAAAAGACGTGCACCGCGGCTACCGTCGATAATTATTGAGAATGAACACATTTGGCATTGTGCCACAAAGGGCGGCACTGTTCAATCGACCGGTCAAGTTGCAGACGCTTTTTTGTTTTTTAAACTTTGTTCAGCGCACCTTTTATAATCTGATGCAACTCAAATGGCGAAACAAACTGTAAACAATTGTTTTTTTGATGTAGTTTGCAATCCGGCAGAGAGAGCGCAGGGAATTTCTGCGGATCGACAGTTTTTTCAAGACATCTGTCGACCATTTACAGGTAGCGACATTTTCAAAGTTTATTTACAGCTAGTAGTTTGTAAAAGCCGTGTGTAATCTATCCCATTTTCCTCACTGTTTAGCGCACTTTTTATAGTCTGATGCAACTTTAATAGTGGAACAAACTGTCAATAAATTGTTTTTGCAGGAGCCCATCACTAGGTGCGTGCAGCTACCATACTCCCATACTCCCATACTACACGGCATGTCCATTTTTAGGCTTTGTTTGCCGCGAAATAGGTCAGTTCCGGTCTGCATACATGATCGCGCATCGGGAAGGGAAAAAATTGACTGTAAATCTGTAGTAGATTCAAACTAAAAATAGATCAGTCTGTGAAAACGCCGTGACAAGAATACGGGGTAGCTAGTTGCAAGCTGCTAGTGACGGGCTCCTGATTTTTGTTATTACAATTCGACGGCTTTTAAAGAGCAGAGATAGCGCGCGCTTATGAAATTTCTGCGGCTCATGTTTTTGCAGATATCCGTCGGCCATTTACAGATAGCGACATTTGTAAACTTTATTTTCTGTTAGAAGCTTGTAAAAGCGTCGCGTAATCTTTCCAATTGTCTTCACCTTTTAAAAGTAGAAATTTCTTTTTCCTTCATCGAGGTTGTTAGGCTGCATACTTGTTTCATCGCCTGAAGCGATGAACCAAAACCAGATCAAGATTTATTGATTGATCAAGGTGGCCTGTCCCGATTGTGCTCGGCAACTTTTGGGAAACTTTTGGCGTTTGGAGCAACTTTTTGTGGTTTTAGAAACCTGGAGCAAGTTTTGCCGGCATGGGTCGCACTAGACCGATTTTTTGTTTTGTTTTTTGTTTTGTTTTTTTTTTATCGGTCCGAAAGACCCAAAATATCGGCACTGACCAAACTTTTGGGGCTTCGTTTTCCGGTCGCACATGAAGCCACACGGCAAGGCTATAAATTCTTGTGTAAACGCTGATAAAACGCTTTTGTAAACAATGATGCTTTCCCGTGAAGGCATACTGTCCATCAACTTTCTTAAATAAACACGCAGTTGACGTGTTTAACGAATTTTTGTTTTCTTTGGGCGATTTTGGAAAAATCTGCCCAGCCCACCCATACACTACAGAGTCTTTGATCTTTTTGGTCCACTGACAAATTTTTCCAAATTTTGCTCGTAGGGGTCGCATTAGGAAAAGCTCCAATTTTCACCCAATTTTCGGTAAAACAAGCAGAATTCGCTCTAGTGCGACCCATTTCTGAGCAACTTTTAAGCAAAATATAGGTTTAGAGCAGATACATGTATCAAGCACGAAAAAGTCAACGATCAAAAAAAACTTCAACTTATTCGAATTTCTTGAATGTTTATCAACTATTTGAAGTTTGGTCACATAACATGTCACTTTAAAACGTTCGGCAAGACGTCAAAGGAACCATGCGTTTCGTTCCGTTATATTTAAGAGTATCACTAAATTTCGCCCACTTTTGCGAGCAACTCGTTAAAGCTTAGCTTCAAGCTATTTTTCTTGACCGATGTTAGCAATTATTGAGAACAACAACAACAACAACAACAACAACAAGAAATTAGCCTGCGAACAGGCTCTCGAGGAGGTAGGATAAAAATCGGCGAGCAAAGCAAAAAGGCTTTTAACTAACGTTTATACAAATACATTTAGTTAAAACTCAGCTACATATCTGGTAAGATTACCAGCTTGCATTTATAGGAATTTACAGGAAATTGACGTATTCGCTGAAATATATAGCTATGTTATGAAAATACTAGCCACAGGTATGCTTTTGGTGACGTTAAGCTTTCAAGCCAAAGTTATTCCTCCGAGTTGTCTGTAATGTACTGTTCATCTGAACAAAGTTCCTCGGTCTTGAAACCGCCCCCGAATGAACGACGATGTCTGTATTCGTTCAGACATTTGGAATGTACTCATGTGGATGTGGGAAATTAGAATGATGTCATTAGACTACGAGTAGTCCCTCTTTCGCTTAGTCCGTCGAGCGAGACCGTAAATAAACCGCGAGGAAAAAAATGGCTGCGTGAAATCCTGGGGGCGAGAAGCGCGGGAAAGTTTCTCGCCCCCAAGATTTCGCGCGGCCATTTTTTTCTCGTGGTTTTCTCTCACGTCACGCGGAATAAGCAAAAGAGAGACTACTCATAGTCTATGAAATCATCGACTCTGAAGCTCAGCAAATAGAAGAAACAATTCAACTTGATTTTGTTAAATTGAACTTGATGTTGTCCGCGGACAAATATCTGAGCATATTTCCGCGCCAAATGGAGGCTATTTTTTTATTTATAATCCTTCTAATCCCTCAAATATTTTCGCTCGCAAGGTTGGTCTAAACGTCTCACGTGACTAAATATTTCCCAACTAAATCTGTGGAGTATCCGAGTGATATTCTCTATTTTCAAAGCCGCGGGTGTTGCGAAAAATATTTGAAGGATAATAAACACAGCTCCATTTGGCGTGAAAAGATGTATTTAACAATTAGACCCGTAGCCCGCAAGGGCTACGGGTCAATAGCCCATGAGGCGAAGCCGAATGGGCTATTGAACCGTGGCCCTTGAGGGCGAAG